CGGAGCCGCGCCGGGAGGCAGGGCGCTGGGTGGGGAGGCGGCACCGCTTTGTCTGGGGCCGCGGGCGAGACGCGCTGCTGCAGCGAGGTAACTAGCGGTCATCCTTTGTGCTGCCGCCAGGCAGAGGGAGGGGCCGGCGGTGGAGCCTGCGCCCCCGTCTTCCATCCCTGCTGGCTGGGGTCTGCCAGCCTCCCTCTGGGTCTGTCTGCGCAGGCGGAAGTTCAGAGAAACCGCAACACTTTCTGAACCTGCTTTAAATGGGGGAAAGGAGGATGTCAGATCTCAGCCTTGGAACCCTCTCTTGTAAATGTGGGGGGAAACCAGCCATCTCCTACAGCATTTTCTAAAACCCTCCCCACAACAGAAACCTTTCTCTGTAATTTCTTCAGAGGCGTAGCCAAGTGAGTCTGTAACAGGAAAAACTTAACAACTAATAGTCTTTAAAGTGCTGCTCGACTATTCGTTGTTTTTTAAGTATTTCTCTGTAATGTAATGGAAGGTGCTTCTTCACTGGCCTTTGGGAGAAAAAAATGCTGGTCTCAGATCTTAGCTCTGATATTCTTGCTGTCTCTAATAACCATATTACAGGCTCCTAGAGAAAGACGATCAGGAACAAGATCTTATCCTATAATAACAGCAAAGCATGAGTAAAATTGCTGGAGAACAAGAAAGACAGAGTTGTAGCTGAAGCACAGGATTAGGAGCATGGAGTGTTTGATTCTGCCACAGACTTCCTGCATGACCGTGGCCAACTCACTTAACCCAACATTTGCAAAAGAAATCTCTGTGTTAGATTGTCTTAATGTTTCACTGTGAAAAGTAGAGATACCTTAGGCCTGATTTATCTAAGTGCTCAATAGTCACAGTTCCACTGAAGTCAATGGGAGCTGAAGTGAACATTAAAATCAGGCTAACCATGTTTCAAGCAGGACAACCAAAAATTGAAGCCTACAGAATTGGAGAACACTTTGTAAACATATGCCTTCACTTTTCTGTGTCTTGGTATTACTATCTAGGATACCCAACAGGGGTGTTGTGAGGCTGAATTTGTTATTATTTATAAAACAAGTAGATTTCTGATGGAAGTTTCTATAAAAATGCAATATTCTAAAATGTTAACATTAAAGATAATTGAACACTGGAATAGGTTACCGGGATATATAGTAAATTCTCCATCACTTAGACTATTTAAATCAAGACTGGGTGGCTTTTAAAAATATGTGCTCCCCTTTTCAGCCATAAATTGTTGTGTTAGGTAGGTGCTGCATTAAGTCCATGACCTGAGTTATACAGGAAGTCAGAACATCTACTAAACTAGTAATTCACCTGAGAAGGCAGTTAACAGCCTGCAAAAGTTGCTTCACGTTCTCCTCAATAAGTTACGCAAGAAAGGCTGACACCTGAAGTCTTGCAGACAGAACTCCTATTAGACTTAGTGGTTCCTATCTAGTTCTAGTAGATGAAACTACTATTTTGGGTGCACTTTGGATGAGGAGCTCTTTGAAAAGTTGCTAGGTGATGAACGCTGTAAAATAAAAAAAAATCTGGTCCTTATTAATGTGTCTAACTGATACTGACCTCTATATTTGGCACCACTGATGGATGTTGAACATTTGAAATCAGATTCTGGGCTCTTCTGACAAATTGGCCCTTGGGAGATACTCATAGTCTAACTGATACTGACCTCTATATTTGGCACCACTGATGGATGTTGAACATTTGAAATCAGATTCTGGGCTCTTCTGACAAATTGGCCCTTGGGAGATACTGCCCAATCCATACCCAGTCATGGGTAAAGGGAGTTGGGGATGTCATCATGCCTTGTTCTGATTGAGGATCTCTCACTATCTTGTTTGATTGGGGGAAATGTGTAGTGTGGCATATAAGCTGCTGGCATTTTTTGTTTCAATTTCTTTAGAATTTTGCAGTTGCAGTGTCCTCTGCTTTTCTGACTTCTAAGGCACTCCATCCTACTTCAATGCATCCACAGTGCAATAGGTCAAGGGTGTGCTGAGTCATGAGTGAGGAGAACTGCCTAATGTCCAATCCTAGCTCTGTTCAGTATTTGAGAGTTTACGCAAGTATTGCAAGTGACCTTTGCAGCCAAATGTCCAATCCTAGCTCTGTCCAGTATTTCAGAGTTTACGCAAGTATTGCAAGTGACCTTTCCTGCTTGTGGGTGTATTTACATAGATTATGGACTAAAGATAAAAATGAAGAGTGGTTAATAGTGCAGAAGTGAAAAAGAATCCAGTTCATGCAGGGTAAAAATAAGCATTTCCGTTTTATCCGAGGTCAATGTTGTTGCAAGTCTGGCACTAACTCAGATCACTTGTTTTATCAGTTTTCTTTGACTGGGGCCATCCTTACTGTTGTTACGTGAGAAGTTTGTCTGCTATTGTAAGAAATAGGATGAGTATCATTGCTGGACATAAGTCACACTGAAAAAACATTTAAGTCATTTTTTGTTTAAAATTATTGTAAAAATACACCGTACTTATTCCTGGCAAAAAAGAAAAAATGACAATTACTTAGGAAGTTTGATATAATACAGTATTCAATTAATATATAACTCATATATGGATAAATCAACACTACATTTTAAAATGACTAGTAGTTTTTGTGGCCTCAATCTTTGGGCAAACAATCTAAGACAGTTTATAGGGCTTGATTGTGAGAAAGTAGGTACTGAGCATTTCTGAAAACCAGACCTCTTTTAGATGTGTTTCAAATTGAGCTTTCAAAATGTTAGGCACTGAAAACTGCTATTTGAATTAGAAATTTAGGCCATTAATATTACTGTAGAGTTAAGCCCTTGAGGTCAGGAAAACAAAAATTAGGTTTCCATATTCAATCTTTAGTGATATGATGACATTTTTTCTGACACATTAGATTATAATTTCAATCATATAATATTTTCTACAACTGCAGACAAACATTATACTATATTGCATTTTTTCTTTCTTGTATCCCTTACTATTTTTATTGCCATAATCAGTCAGTAGATCTTTAGTGATTTATTCTTTTATACAGTGAGTTCTCTTCTCTCTTGTGTATAGGCCAGATTCTCAATTTATGCAAAACAACATAAATGGAACAACACTGATTTACATTGGTTGAGGATCTGGCCCAGTGAATTTTAGAACAGGGCTAAACAGAGCTTTATGCTCACTGAGCCCTTTGTAAGGGATGGTATTTAGCAGCTTTACTACCCTAGAAGAATCACAGGAAGGAACTGTAACTCAGAGGCACCCTCTCCTTTTCTCCTGCTGCTTTGCAGACAAAAGGGTTATTAAGTCACTTTACTCCTTTTCAGGGTACCACTGCTCGTGTCTGACCAATTCCACTAGCTGGTGTGTAGTGGGACACGGCTATGGTACTATCCACAGCTATATCACCAGTTTTTCCAGATGATTTGATTGTGGGGGAAGTATGGAGTTTGCATGTAACTACTTAGTTCTGTCTGGCGCACCCCCCTCCCGCTAGTCCAGTGTATTGAAAGAAGCTACATGTGTGTATTCTATAGTATAGAAAAAATATGATAATTAAGAAGTACATAATTAAAGTCAGTGGTCAAATCTTCTCAGTGCAAACCACACTTAGCTCTATTGACGACACCAATTTACAATACCCAACGAACTACCCGTATGTCATGACGCATATGTAAAAAGACTCAGAGTTAAAGTAGGGATGACTTCAGCCTTTTTTGCCTTTGATTACTTAATATAGTTATATATGACATTTTCTAAGGGGTAAAACTTAAAAAGAAGTTTTGCTTTTGACAACTTTGAAGCTCTGCTGGCTTGCAAGAAATTGGCGATAGCTTGTGTAAATGCTATAATCTGGAACTGTTTGAATGGCGACTACCAGAATTCCCTGTCTCATTCATCTGATAGTCCACAGGAGAGAACCTCTTTTCTGGGCATGTTAGGGAATTCTCAGGAGATAATTTCTCTCTTGCAAACCTTTGTGAAATTTTTAAGATGCATGAGAATGGGCTTCCATCCTGCACACCTTAAAAAGTGGGTGAGATCTCTCTTTCAGTTTTTACCTGGCATTGCACAGATCCTTCAGGGCAGGGGGCTGGTGGTCTGGGGAGTGCATGAGTCAGGGCAGGGCCTTGCGGATGTTGGGGGGGCTTAGAGCAGGAGTCTGGGGGCATGGGCGATGCAGGAGTCAGGGTAGGGGTTGAGGAGGGGTTCAGGGCAGGAGGCTAGGAATGTGAGAGGTGAGAGTGCAGGAATCGGGGTATGGGGTTGGGAGGAAGGGGAGCTCATCAGGGTTGGGATGGGGGTGGCCCAAAGTGGTGGGGAACATACACCCTGATTGCTGGCTTGTCCCTGGGGTGAGGTGACATGAGTACCCTGCCTGCCAGTTTGTCCCTGGGAACTGGACTGGGATGGAGGGCCTGGCTTGGAGAGAAGGGGGTGTATAGGCTGGACCAGCTGGTGCTTCCTGGTCCAGATATAGGAGACAGAGGGGAGGGCCACGGAGGCTGGTGCTCTCTGGGTCAGGGGCTAGCAGGGTGGGCAGGCCATGCTCCACAGGCCCGCTCCAGGTCTAGGGACCGGAGTGAGGGGTCACTGAGGGTCGCACCTCCCTTGGCTGGGCCCAGGGTCAGAGGGTGCAGTCCAGGTTGGCCCCAGCTACACTCTCTGGGCCTGGCCTAGGCAAGGGAGCAGCACAGGCTGTCCACAGTGGCACTCCCAGAGCCTGGCCTGGGGGAAAAAGAGGGCCGTGTACAATTAAACCCTAACCTTGCTTTAAGTTATGAGAGGAAGCTGCATACCAAATTTGGTGGTCCTAGCTCTTACTGTTTAGGAGGAGTTCTTGAACAAATAGACATACTGACAAACAGACAGTTGCAAATTTCTAATATATGTAGATAGACAGGGCTCGACAAATTATGCAATCTACTCGTCCGTGGCGAGTAGATTGTAACCCGGAAGAGCCGGGTTCCGGCGATCTGCGCATGCGCAGCTCGCCAGACAGCGCGGCTGGCGAGTGGGGCTCGCCACGATTTGGCAAGCCCTGTAGATAGATATATACTGTCAAATAATGCTCTTGATTTCCCTAATGTAAAACCCTGAGTGATGTCACTGACTTACAAACGGCAGTGTTTGGAAGCATACTAAAAGCATTTATATTGTTTATTTCAGAATACTGTGGGGAAAATGTGCACCACTCAGGAAGATATTGGATATGATTTTGAAGATGAATCAAAAGATAAGAAGACACTTAAACCTAATCCAAACATTGATGGTGGATGGGCTTGGATGATTGTCCTTTCTTCTTTCCTTGCACATATACTCATCATGGGGTCCCAAATGGCCCTCGGAATACTTAACATGGAATGGCTTGAAGAATTCAGTCAAAGTCGAGGCTTGACTGCATGGATTAGCTCCCTCAGCATGGGTATTACATTGATCGTAGGTATGTTCCAATATATTTGTACTAGAAGATTTACCTGGTATTGCTCGGGTCCTTAACTCAATTAATTTTTGTTTTTTTGGAAAATAAAATGAAAATGTACATGCTTCATTTGAATCATTGCTCTGGGGTGAGGCTGGAGATGAGAGGTTCAGTATGTAGGCTGCCCTGGGGAGACAGGACTATCCCAGCTCTCTCTCAGAGCAGCATCTTGGGGCCAGTTGTAAAGCCCTTGTCCATGACGGCTGCAGCTTTAGTCATGAAAGTGAGGGGTATATGTACCGTGGCTGGGACAGGTCCAGGTTCGTCTGTCCCCTGCGCTCCCCAGCCAGAATGAGGAATGCAGCAAACTGTGCACTTTCCCTTCGCTCCCTGATGAAGCGGAACAGCCAGCAATGTTCCCATATGAATGGGGGGGGAGGGCGCTTCAATGCCCCCCCAATAAAGAGCACCTGGGGGAGAGGGAGGTTCAGGGTTGGGGCAGTCCCAGATAAGGGGAGGGGGGCTGTTTCCAGCCATCCCCTTTCACCTGCCTGGTGATTTTGACTTTTTTTGTATGGTTTTATGAGATGCCATCCCATTCCAGGCACATCTTATTTAACCTGGCATAACCATACCCTGACCTTGCTTTAAGTTATGATACGAGGAAGCTGAATACCTAATTTGGTGGTCCTATCTCTGACCGTTTAGGATAAGTTCTTGAACAAACTGACAGACAGACAGACACACAGACAAACTCTCTCAAATATACAGTAGATTACAAAACTGTGTAGTTTTAACATGGTATTTTCCCCTTTGTCCCAAGTATTTTCTTGCAGTATTTAAATATGGTAACGGAGTAGGCTAGAGTGTTCTTGGACTGTAGTTTTAAAGTTGACAGACCAAATGCATTGCAGGTTGTCCACATCATTTCCCACATCAACTGATTTGGGCTGTGGGGCTAAAATAGCCCAGTCAACATTCCCACTTGTGTTGGAGTCCAGGCTCTAAGCCCTTCCTTTTCAGAACTTGGGCTCCAGTCCAAGCCCTAAAGTCTACACCAGTGGTCTCCAGCACGGTGCCCGTGGGCGACATGGCGCCCGCGGGGGCATTTGTGTGCTCCCACCAAGTGCTCGAGGCTGGCCTGGTCCCGGGCACGTGGCGCATGCATGGTGCCGGTGCCGGAGCCGGCCCCGGGTGCATGGCGCACAGTGAGTGCTGGCCCCAGGAGCGCCGCGGATAGGCAACCCTACGACACACTCAGCAACAGGGTCCAGCCCCCGACCCCTTGCGGGGCCCCCCCACTTACCTGGTTCCACAGGGGCTTGTCTTGTGGCTGGAACAGAAAAACAAAATGGCCACCAGCAAAAAAGCCTCTTCTTAAAGGGGCCATGCTGATTTTTTATTTATTTATGCTTAATAACTGCTGTTGGGGTCCTTTTTTTTTTTCTCAACAACTTTGGTCTCCTCCCTTTTTTTTTCTCAACAGAATTTTTTTCCCGGTGGGTTTTTTTTGGGGGGGGAGGGTCGGGGTCAATATTTTTGGTTAAACCATATGGCAACCCTACCTGCTGTGTGCCCTTCTCTCTGTGTAGCTTTGAGGGCTGCCTGGGGGTGGCCCCACCCCTTCTGCCTGAGGCCCCGCCCTTCCAGGAGCATGACACTTCTTTCTGTGCCTATTTACATATTTCTTTGTCAGAGTTTTACAGATAGGCCTCTTATGTTCAGCTGAGATGTGGGATGCACTGTACAAGTCTCTGAAAGTCAACAAGCCAGTTCTGATCAATAGGGTTGCAGAAGCAATTCTAATTCTCCTCTATCTGGCATGTATATTTGATCTGCACTCCGAGGAGTATAAGATGCCATATTTTGTCTGTTAAATGGACCACGCTTATTTATTCCCTCTTTGCCTGAGTGTAAATAGATTATCCTGTAGTACCTGTCACAGGCTCTGTGACACATTTATAAAGGTAATTAAATAACAGCATCCAAAGGGGCCACCCAAGACAAAGTGCCATGATTAAACAAAAAGTTCTATCTCACTGAATTCAGATAATGGCAGAGTTATTTGCCAAAGACCTAGAGGAGTTTATTGAATGACACTTCTTAGGGCCTAAAGGAGTTAATATGAAAAAAATAATCCTTTTAATTGCATTTAACAATTTCAATTAAACTATTGTTTCATTTGTTTGAAAATGATAATTAAGGCTTTTCATAAGTGTTACAGTAAGTATAAATAGAACTTTACACAAACCTCTTACCAAATTCTTTTTCTTGTTCTGTGACAGGTCCTTTCATTGGTTTATTCATTAACACATGTGGGTGCCGCAAGACAGCAATTACTGGTGGGATCTTGAATGCCCTAGGCTGGGTGTTGAGTGCCTATGCCTCAAATGTATATTACCTCTTTCTTACATTTGGACTGACAGCTGGTAAGCAATATTTATTATTTGAAAATTCTTTTAAATAGTGTCAGTGTTTTCTGCCAGTCCATTTGCTGAAAACATGAGAGAAGCCAAGATGGGTTTTGGATCATTTTAATATTTGATTTTTTTAAAAGTTTCTGATAAAGTGATTATAGGAGGGGATTTTAGCTATTTGACAATTTTTCTTTCAGTTCAGCAGTTCTCAAACTTTAGCAACCTGTGAACCCCCATTTTGATTTATTTTTTTCTGCAGACCCCCAAGGTGGCTTCTCATTTTCACAAGGGACTCTCAATACTCCACTCAGGGCTAGGATCCTTCTCCATTCTACCCTTTGCCCCAAGATCCCACCTCTGTCACTCCTCTTCCCTGCCTCTTTCTGCCCCCTCTTCTGAGTGCTCTCAGTCCCCATTCCTCTCCCCCTCAGCACCTGCTGCACATCACTAAACATCTGTTCCACAGTGTGCAGGAGGCACTGGAAGGGAGAGGGAAGAGTTGATCAGTTGGCTCACAGACCCCCTTGAGTATCTTCACAGACCACCAGGGGTTCATGGACCTCAATTTGAGAACTGTTTTAGTTTGTTCAGTTTGCAGTCAGACTAAAGTTATTGTGCTATAGTTTCAGACAAATCAAGTTCTGCTTTCCGTTTGAGATCAATGGAGTTATTCCAAATTAATCTGATGCAAGTGATAGACTATAGCCTAATGGGCCCAATTTTTATTCCACACCATTTTTACATTAGTCTAACTCCTTTGTCTTTAACAGAATTACACCAGCAAAAATGAGAGCAGCATCAGACCGAGTAAGTCCGATCATGAGCATATGGAGATGTTTTTGTCAGTGATGGGAAAGCATGGAGGTCTCTCTGGCATGCCTCTTTCAGCCAGGGATGGCACCACAGTCAGGTCCTGTTTCAGTTTATAAACAAAGTCTAGACAGCCCTATTTATATCAGAGGGCACCTCCTCTTCCAAGGGTCTCGTTTATTAGCAAGTCATAAGCATAACTAGGATTTGGGGGCATTTGTTATGTCAGTCAATGTCTAATTCCTTTTTCCAAGATAGTCTTCCACTATCTTTTATCTAGTTCTGAAACCCTTCCCAGTTCTTTCTTGGGGTTACTCCTTTTCTGTCCTCCTTTAACCAGGAGTTCCCAACTTGGAACTGTGCTGTACTGATTTTCCTCAGCCTCTCCTTAAATAGAACTTCCTTCCTAGTTGTCTCTGAAACAATCAAATATTTGGTTTTTCTTAAGCTGGAGCCTCTGTTCTAGCCATCTGGAGCAGAGCTATATGCTATAGGGCCATTGCCATATTCTCCCTCTGCTGGCACTTTGCCTTAATTAGCCCTCTTGGTGCTATACAGGTCAGCCTTTCCTTGCTGATATCTTCTGGTATCTGATTTGCTATGAGGGAGGAGGTTACCTTTATGCTGGCTCCTTTCCCCAGTTTATACACAATTGGTTGGGGGTGGGGAAGGGTGAATGGAGCCTCCCCACCCCTGACAATGAGAAAGTGATGAGCTTGCTATTGATTCCTTGGATAGCTTCCTCTCTGTCAGGTGTAAAAACCCACACATGCTTTTCCAGTCCTTTAAAGAGGTGTGCTACATGGGCTGCTTTCTAGGCACATCTGCCCTTAAAGAACAGATTGTCCTTCACAAAGCTTCCCTTCCAAGACCCAGTCTAGATCCAAATGGTAAACTTGATGAAATTTTTAATTTAGACATGGAAGTCAACCAGTATGCTTGGCAATACCCTTATCTTCATCAGAAAAATTTAAGTAACTAGGGCTGGAAGTTCTCTCTTTTGTAGCTCGCCCATATGGAGCCTGAGCATAATTTATACTGTGCACCCAGATGGCTGAATCTCTTTGCCATCTCCTGTGTTGTCAACAGAACCAGTATTTCACCACAAATAAACTTTTCCGTGGAGGTGGCCTCTTGATTCTCAGGAGAGGAGTTCCCCTTAAGGCACACACCTGAGTTAAGGATACTTCTGTACAGGTTGAGAGATCCCTTTCAGGGTTTCCAAAATAAAACAAAAAAAAATCCACACCCCAGAGATTGTGCTATTTTGCCTACTACTTATAGTATCGCTCTTAGCAACACCCATATCTGTTTTTTATGTACAAAAAAGTCTCAATTTGCACCACACATCAGTCATTCCTGCCTTTTATTCTACAGTTTTCTAGAGCCTTACTGTTTCCTACAGGTTTTCACTCCAGGATACCTGCCTGAGAATCAATCAATCAACTCTCCTCTTTCTTCCCTCATTCCCAAATTTAGGGGCTTCCTTGGTGAGATCTAAATCTTCTTGCCTCCAAAAAATCCCTGAAAATTTTTTCCACAAAATCTGCATAGTTTCTGTTAAGAATTTGTTTCTGCTTTTCTGCTCTACTTGATATCATTGTATTGATTCTAATAGAGATAACAATGCTATCAAAACTCTTATCAGGGTGGGGAGCCTTGCCTGTACCACTCTCCTTATACCTCAAGTACCCTTAAATTCCTGCTCCTGGACACTCTTGCCCTAATTCTCCTACAAACCCTCTCTACCAGGGAATTATCCTGGTCTAGAGACCAAATTGCTTCCTATAGCTCTTCTTATGACTTCTCTTTCAGGAGCCTCCTCACAGCTATCTCCCAAATGGCCTACTTGCTGGCTTTCATAATTATCACCTGATCCCTAGCTTTTCATTCTCAGCTGGGAGCTAGCTGACTCATCATAGATGAGACTGGGCCCAGCTCCCTTTAAAGGGCCAGCTGCCCTGCAACAAGTACTGGCTTTTCAAACTTATTCAGACATGTAAGGTCTGACATAGCAGTCACATATTGTAAATTATTGTAACTTCTTAGCTGGTCTGAGTTTTAAACACACTGGTTGTCTGTCACAAACTAGAATATCTCTAATTCCAGAATCCCTCATCAGAAGGTAGCTACTGACTGCTGTGAGATAGGATGGCAGAAATGACAGCAAGGAATAAGGAAGGGAAAATTTATGTTTTTTATCTGAGGAACACTGCCTTTGAAGAGGCTCTGGATGTAGTGTCTCTAGAAAGATGATTGCAACATGAAGTAAGGTGTAGTTCTGGCTCTCACTGAACTTAACTGGTAGAAAAAAAAAGATTTGATTTTTGGACTTTCCCACAAGGATAAATCAGAAACTACAAAGTGTGTGAAAAAGCCAAGACTGATGAATATGGACAAAAGAACTCTTTTTGGAAATTTTGGTGAGATCTACATGTAGCTTCCTGCCCCAAAAAATCCTTGAAAGGAATTTACACAAAATCTGCATAATTTCTGTAAAGAATTTGCATCTGCTTTTCTATTCTACTTGGTATCATTATATTGATTCTAATAGCGATCACAATGCTATCAAAACAGAGATATCAAAACTCTCCTTTCTATACCTCTCTTTCCTTATATCTGGAGTACCCTTAAAATACAGATGAATCAATTATCTTTTTCTCACCCTGTCCAAAGAAATCAGACAAAAACTATTGAACTGCCTAAAGTAATATGTAGAAATAAATAGCTAAAATGAAAACCATATCTGTGTTCTCTAGAGAAATCTGCCTGGGTATTTCAAATGAAAGTGAGAAGAACTGAGATGTACTCAGTGGAGTAATTCTGGTAAAAAATTGGGATCAGGGAGATGTCAGGGATATTCTTCTGCCATGCTATGAGACTTCCCTCCAGTGCAGCCCCCAAAAAGTTCCAACGCCTAGTTTTTCTCCCAATTGCCATTAAAAATGGCTCCCAGTGCTGACTTACTTTGACTCTCTACCAGACTGTCTCCCATCCTGCGCTGCAGTGTTCAGGTAACTCATTGGCTCCTGCTAACTCCTTCAGTTTATATTTTTTCTCTTCCCAACTCCTTGTCATGTACAGTCTTCCTAGATTCCCCTATTTCCAACAAGCCCCTCCAATGTCTTCTCCCCAACTCTGAGGCTCTGTGATTCTCCCCTCCCTGCACACTTTCTTGGTCTTGCCAACTCTTCTCCCAAGACTCATTCTCATCTTCTCAAATCAGCCCCTCTCATTCTCTCTTCCCAGGCTCTTTCACCTCTCCCCACCCCCCCATCTTTCCAGCTTCTTGTCCCTTTTCCAAAATATCCCTCTTGGACCACTTATGTCCCTTAAGTGCCTGTGCACTCTGACAGGTGTCGTCCCTTTGTCCTGCCCCCCACCCCCATGCTCACATCCTCACAGAGCTGTGTCTTCTGGTAGTGGCTTGTGGAAGGGAAAAAGAGGGAACCAGATCTCTTGAGCGCCTCAGTACCTCAGAGGTGGAGGGGGCGTGCCTATACAAGGATCCTGCCATGCCGGCCTAGCAACAGAAGACGGGGGAACAGAGAGCCCTCTGTTGGCAGAAAGGTACAATTGCAGTTGCCCTGTAGTTGCAAAGTAAGGGAAAAAATGACTAGATGCATTTTTTTCATCACTAGTGAACTTAAAAAAAATCAAGCCATTTCTGTTTGCTGTCCAAGAAGATATACGTACAAGCAAATATTATGGCTGTGTGCATATACAATTGAAAACTGAAGTCTTTGTACTTTTATTCCCACATCTACCACTGACTTGCTGAGTAACCTTGGACAGATTACCTGAGACCTGATTTTCAGAGGTGCTGAGAGCTCACAGCTTTGGATGATGTCATACTGAGATATGACTGCTCAATACCTCTGAAAATATCAACAGCTATTAGCCCCAATGTGGCTTGGTTTTTCTATGTGTCAAATGGAACAATCACTACTTTGCAGGGATTAGTTAATTCATGTTTGTAAAATACTATGTATGCTAGATTAAAGTAAATGATAAATGCAAAGTATTTATTAATTGTGATTATTTTTATGAAGAAATTAGGTATAGCCCTTTGATTACTGGTATGTTGCTAATATGGCTCTTGCTGCTGCACTGTATAGCTTGCTAAACATGGATGATTTCAGTAGAGTAGCATGTGATGTTTGTATTTCCACAGGTGTTGGGAGTGGCATGGTTTATCTGCCTGCAGTGGTCATGGTAGGACAGTATTTTCAGAAGAGAAGAGCCCTAGCTCAAGGACTTAGTACCACTGGAACAGGATTTGGAACATTCCTAATGACTGTTTTACTGAAGTATCTGTGCAAGGAATATGGGTGGAGGAACGCAATGTTCATCCAGGGTGCTGTCTCTCTGAACCTGTGTGTCTGCGGAGCACTCATGAGGCCACTTTCTTCCAAGAAGGATGCCAATGAAAAGGGTATTGAGAGAAACAATAGTGAGGATTATCATGCAAAAGCTCTGTTCCACTCTGCAAAGCCTATAGAATCTAATGGGGTGTTACATGAAGAGGAAGAAAAAAAAGAAGCACCAGCTAATGATGAAGTGCTTGATAATGCTCAGACTGTGGAGAGCAAAGGTAAAACCAGACGTGGAATGAATTTGTATGGTCTTTGCATTCTTAAGAGAGTGAGCCAGCTGACTGTTACAATCAAGAGGGGGTTTGGAACATGGTACTCCAGTTACTTTGGGGCTGCATCACTTTTTACCAATAGAGTATTTGTGGCCTTTGTGTTTTGGGCATTATTTGCATACAGCAGCTTTGTAATTCCTTTTATTCATCTTCCAGAAATTGTCAAACAGTATAATTTATCCACACAGAATGATGTATTTCCTTTGACCTCAATTATTGCCATTGTTCATATATTTGGTAAGGTGATCCTTGGAATCATCTCTGATCTACCCTGCGTCAGCACTTGGAATGTCTTCCTGACAGCTAACTTCAGTCTCGTCATCTGCATTTTTATTTTGCCCTTAATGCATACGTATATTAGCCTGGCGATGGTTTGTGCCCTAATAGGCTTTTCCAGTGGGTATTTTTCTCTAATGCCTGTTGTCACTGAAGATTTAGTGGGGATTACGCACCTTGCAAATGCTTATGGCATCATCATTTGTGCCAATGGGATATCTGCACTGCTAGGACCACCATTTGCAGGTAAATAGTTTGTTTCAAATCAGCATATATATCTGGGGCTATATCTGAATTGTTATGTATTTGTGGTTGTGGTTATATACAGCAGCTCCTGCACTGACTAGTGTCACATTTTACATGTATGGGTTTACAGAACACATTACCCACCTCTCAGTAAAAACTGCCATCCTTGGAAGTCTATTCAGCTCTGTTACAAACTGTTGTTTCTATGGTAATTGCTTAAGATAATTGTATGTATCCATTTCTAGAATAGAAAGGGTTAATATATTTACCCGTGTATTTTATGTAGTACAGTTTATAGCTGCTGCATGCATATGTCCAGATGAGATATTTGCTATAGTATTGAGTTGTTACTGGGATCCTTGGGGTGCAGCCTGGGATTGTGAGACCTCTGTGCATCCTTTAGCTCTCCAGCCTGGGCTGTCTTTCACAATGCCTTGCTAATGACAATGAGCAAACCTCTCTAGGACCTGTTATCACTCAGCACATGCTGATGTGGAACCCTTCCCAGCTGCTAGATTGCTCCCAGAGCCATGCATGAATCCCTCAAAGGAAGGCATCAGCCAAATCCTTCCCCCTTTCCTCTCCCAGTACTGTAATTCAGGAGTATATCATCTAACTCTGTGGTCACCAGCCCACACTCCTGCCCCCCCACATCCACAAGCCTGTGGCTTGCTTAGCACCCCAACCCTCCACCTGACCGTAACACTTTCCAGCCTGGAGCCCCCTCTATGAGCCAGCATCCCCTTCTCCACATTCTCTTTCACCCAAATTCTCTCTCCCAGAGCCTGCACCTTTCAACCTTTCCCACACCCAAATCCCTTATTCCCACCCCAGAGCCCGCACCTACTGTCTCAACCTAGTGAGAGGGAGTAAGGGCTGGGGACAGCAAATGATGGGAATGGAGAGGGCAGGGTCTCGAAGGGGTAAGGTCTTGGGGAAGGGATGAGGTAGATCTTGGCTTGCCCTGACATTTAAAAAGTGATCTCGGGTGTAAAAAGGTTGGAGACCACTGATCTAATTTATTAATTGGTTCACCACTTCATCAATGGAAAGTGGACATAACCAGCCTTTGTAAAATCCCTGAGCAAATTTATCAAACATTTCAGGCAAACATACTGGTAAAGATCAAAAGTAAAACAAGTTTATTGAATACAAAAATAGATTTTAAATAATTATAAGCGATAGGCAAAAATATCAGAGTAGATACCAAAATAAAATGAAATAAAATAAAATTTAAGCACACAGTCTAACCTCTCACACTTATTTGACTGGACAACAACTAGATTAAGCAGTTTTTCTCACCCCACTGAATACTGCAGTCCTTAATATACAGGTTTATCACTTAAACCTGGGCCAGTCTCTGTTGGAATCTTCAGTCTTTTCCTGAGTGTCCTTGTTGTTTGCAGTGTTGATAGTGGAGAAGGTTCCTAACCTGTAAACCTCTTAAAGAAATAGCACTCTATCACACTGTTTATCTACACTATTTGTATGAACCCCATCACTTCAGCATCAGAATAAGTCCTTAGAGACATCAATATATTTACCTTTACAACAGTCCTGTAAAGTAGAGAAGTATTATCCTCACTTTACAGATGAGGAGACTGAGGCACACAGTTAAGTAACTACCCACAAGAATTTTAATACCCACAAGTTCAGTTGCCATTGGTAATAGGTAACAGGAAGGGGTAATGTACAAATCCTTCTATCAACTTCTATTAACCTGGCTCCATGACTGAATCATTCAAGAACATACAATTTAAATAGTGTAATGTTTTAAATTTACTTTAAAAAAAACTCTTTTCAATAGCCTTATGATATAGTGAACCAAAATTACATTTTTTGCTTTCCATATCAGAGAGTAGTTTCATTACACTAATATTTCTTGTGCAAATAGTATTACATGCAACATATATTCGATAAGGTTATTTTCTTGAATAAGGGAAATTATATTAGTTCCAACATCTGGTCTAAATAATGTACAGATCAAGAGTCTTACTTGAGAGACAATTTTTTACGCTATTCCACAGATACTGTTTCTTTCTGTGGGAATAGTGACAGTACTTTGCATGTTAGAGAGTATTTTGGCAGAAGATTTGACTGTTTTATAAATATTAATTAGGTCTCACAGCTATCTAGTGATTTGGGTAAGTATATTATATCTATTTTACATTTGGGTAAACTAAGCCACAGAAGAATTTACTGAGTGCACAAGATCACACAATGAGGCAGTGGCACAACTAGGAGTACGACCCAGGTCTCTTCTTGAACTGTTAGACCATACTGTTTCTCTAGGAAATAGAGAAGATGGTGTACTATATATTTTTTCTTTGTCCCAATAAATTTCATGCTTTGTTAATTCAACTGTTTTTCCCCTAAGGCACAAAGTTAACCTCTTAATTGTGCAAGATACTGGACATGATTCTAACTGAGGAGGAGAGGAAAAGGGGTGTCATTTCAGAACAGGAGAAGAGGAGATACCTATACAGTTACATACAAGGCAAATTTGTGAAATCATGTTTAAAACAGATAGTAAAAATTACAACAGCCCAAGTAAAAGGATCACACATTCTGATAACTTACATGTTGTTTACTCTGTAATTAATTAGGCCCTGGAGCTCTAAAGTGCACAAAAATTCCCAATGAGGTAATTGGGAATTTTATCTGAATGAAGACTGCAGGATCAGGATCAACTGTATCTTCAACCAATCAGAAGCAACTCCAGTTAGAATGAACCCTATGGTCCTTGCCAAGACAAACTCCCATTTACTTCTGAGGGAGATCCAGCTATCCAAAGACTGTGGGATTGGGCCTATTGGCTTCACAAGGAATTGTATACATATATTAAAAATGCCTATGTTGTCTCTCTATATTTAATACCAACTACATCACCTATAAAATTGCATACATGTAATGTAGCTGGATTAAATAAAATAGCTGACTTTCACCCTGTGAAAAGCACTAGCATGAATCCTATGTGCTAGTTAAACCTTTGTGCTTCCCTTTACACAGAGGTGAATTTCATCCAGGCTATGTCTATACTACAGGGTTTTAGCACAAAACCCGCTGTTTTTGTGCAAAAACCCGCAGAGCGTCCACACCTCAAGCACATTTTTGCACAAGAAAATTTACAGTAAAACAGCAGAACAGAGAGCTTTTTGCAGTTTAGGTATATCTCTTTCTTGCACAAAAAGATGTGTGTGGACGCTCAACAGGGGTTTCTTGTGCAAAAAAAGCCTATTAGAAAAAGCACAGGTGCTCTGATGGCCATTCTGTGATTGGCAATCAGAACTTTCTTGCACAAGAGTGTCCATGCAGTGTGGACGTGCTTTTGTGCAAAAGCACATTGCTTTTGTGCAAAAGCACATTGCTTTTGTGCAAAAGCACATTGCTTTTGTGCAAAAGCACATTGCTTTTGTGCAAAAGCACATTGCTTTTGTGCAAAAGCACATTGCTTTTGTGCAAAAGCACATTGCTTTTGTGCAAAAGCACATTGCTTTTGCAAAGCGCTTTTGAGGTATGGATGTGCTTTTGCGCAAGAAGTTTTTGTGGAAGATCTCTTCTGTAAAAAGCTTCTTGTGCAAAAACCCTGCAGTGTAGACAAGGCCCCAGAGTTCTTCTGGACTATTGAGTTGGCAGTCCTGACAGAACAGTAGATTTCTTTCCATTTAAGTATTTCCTTCACCTTTTTTTTAATTATCAAACAATTAAAAAAAATACCATTCAGAAGTAGCAGGGACAGTATGGGTAAGAGAAAGAACAATTAAATAGGAAGCCATGTGCTAAGAGAGATGTTAGAAGCAATTTGCTCTATTCCTAGCTCTATCTGCTGGTATAGGATTTATATTTTTAATCTGGGCTGGAGTTGATACAGATTGGAGAAAAAGAAGCATTCAGAATTTGGGGACCTAGCTTTGCTATTGGGATTTAAGTAGCAAACAAGGGTCAAAATCATACACAAAAGAAATCTGAATAAAACAGAAGATGTAAATTAAAGACTTTAGCAAATTAACAGTGTAGGACAGGGGTGGGCAGTAATTTTTGGTGGATTTTGGAATCCAAGATTTTGGAGAGTGCTCAAGGGCCACATTTTTCCGTGGAGGAGGTGCGGGGACTAAGATGGAGATTGGATGTAGAACAGCTGGAGATGGGTGAAGTCTGAGAGGGAGTTTAGGTGAAGGAGGGGGGGTTGTGACCTGGGTCAGAGGAATGGGGTGTAAGGCCAGGGAGGCACTTACCTAAGCCAGGAGCTTACCTGCAGCCCCAAAGCATTGAAAATACAGGCTGCTCCCTCCATGTGGCTCTCAGTTCCAGGAGAGGGGAGAGGCTTGTGCTGCCCCCATCACCTAAGCCAATCTCTCAGCTCCTATTGCCTGGCTGTTTCTCGCCAATTGGAGATGAGCTATTGGCTGGGGTCAGTTCCTATTGACCAGTTGTTTCTGACCAATAGGAGTGGAGGATTGGGCTGGGGCAGGGAGATCATGGGAAGTCTTCCCCTCCATCCAGAGCAGAGAGATAGAGGGAGCAGCCCTGCATTTAAAACAGTGTCTGCTATGTGCCTAAGGGTCCTGGGAGGGCTGTCTGAGGGCTGGATCTGGTGGCTTGGTGGACTGGATCTGCCCACAAGAGGTATCTTGCCCACCCCTGGTATAGAGTCTTCATAAATATATATATATCTCAGACCTCCAGAGACTTACGGGAGCCTGGAACTATTTTAGTCTACCTGACATTTGAATTTTTGAGTCATTCATTCCCTGTGACTTCTTGTAGAGCTTGGATGAGGGCTAAAACATGTCCATTAACTATTTATATAGCTAGCATGGCATGGCAGATTGAATAGGAGTCTGGGAGCGAGGAGGTCCTAAATTCTGACACCACCTCTGCAACAAACTCACTGTATGACTTGGGGTAATTGCTAACTATGCAAGATTTCCATCTGTAAATTGCGGTAGTAATACTGATCCTTCAATACGAAGCCTAATTTTCCACTGCTCTGTACCTTGTATAACCATTTTACCTGTGCAAATGTGAATGTAAAACAGCCACTCTGATTTAGCAGCATTTTACATCGACTTTCCACAGGTATAAATGATCATACAAAGTGGAAAATCAAGCCTGTAAAGTACTTTGTAAATAATAAATATTAAATACTAAATATCAGTGGAGCCAGATTCTCACTTGGTGTAAATCAGTGTAAGTATAGTTCCACTGAAGTCAATGGAGCTATTCTGACACACCAGCTGAGCATCTTTAGTACAACAACATGTTTTTAAGCTTACTTACAGTTAACATATTCATTGGCAAAGCTGATCTTTTCACAGTTTGCTTTTCTTTATTCCAAGAAAGGAGACTGGATACAGTTAGTAGCAGTAATTTGACCACATTTTTCTGCATATGTGAAAACATTGCCCACCAAGAATGGATTAAGGCAGGAAGATTCCAAGTGGAGGGGCCAATGTTTATAGAAAGCATCTAGAAGCATAGGCCACTGCACTTCGAATCTTCTTGCTAGACTTTTAGGATGGATCTTTGCTTTCACCCATATCTGAGTCCTTGCGCTTTCTGGCAAGTAGGTAGCCCAGCCCAAATTCTCATTCATCGTAAGTTGTGCTGCATCACAGCTTGATGCTTTCTCTCTGGGTCACTGGATCCCAAGGTTTCTGCCTTATCCTTCCCCACCAAAATGTTTTGAAAATCCTAGCTCCATATATCGCACATCATCCTGAGAGTAAAGTTCTCCCTTATGGAGAGGACCATCAAAAGGCCTGTGCATATCTGAAGTCCCATTTTGAGGATTTAAAAGGGATATTAGTGACGCATAGGCCATGGGTTGGCCTTCTGCATGGGACTGATTAAACCATTGGTTTCTATTAGTTCATTTCTATTTTTATTGTTAGATATGGAGGCAATTTCCACTTCATTTCTTTTTTAAGAAAAAAAATGGTCATTTGAATGAAGTGCCCCATAATAAGATGTGTTCATGAGATAAATATATAGTGTGTTTTTTTAACGTTCCTGTTTTATGTTTCTCTGAAATGTTTTCTACTGAAAACTTTCTTTTCTTTGTTTTGCAGGCTGGATCTACGACATCACACAAAAATATGATTTTTCGTTTTACATATGTGGTTTGCTTTACATGGTAGGAATAATCTTTTTACTCATCCAACCTTGTATTCAAAAGAAACAATCAAGAGACAAACCCACTGAAAACACAAAAGTATAGTGCAATTTATAGAATGTTTTGAAAAGAATGTATTGAGTTTGTGTCTATAGTATAAAATTGCTATTCTTAAGACCAACCACTTTGAAGAGCATCACAGTGAATGAGCTGCAAAGTGCTGATATTAAATAATCAATGGAAATGTGCTTGTAAAAGGAAGTTTACTGTCACACTTACAATTCTTGTCTTTAGAATGACCTCTTTAATAAATACAGACTTTGAGAGCTCTTCAAATGTAATATCACTATTTTTAGATTTGGACAGTGGTTGAAAAATTCACTCTGAATCATAACTAATGCACACCAGTTTTACACTGATGAAATTGTATTGACTGCAATGCAGTTGCTGCTGATTTACACTGGTGTGAAAGGAGTATCAGGCCTCACACGAATCCTTTTTTTTTATTTTATATTCCATCTGATCAGAAATTTGTTGATAAGCACAAAAAAAGGCTACATTTCTTATCCGGTTTACTACTAATAAATCAAAGATTACACTATTTAATATATTTAAAAGAAGAATGTTTCTGTGATGTAAAATTGAAGATTTCTTATATTTTTTTGAAAGCACTCTCCATCCAAGGAACGATTTTTGATGTTTTGATTGCAGAAGAAATTATCCATTCTTAACTCATAAGAGAAATGATAAATGAGGTATTTTAATCTGGTACCAACAGCACTGAAGTAAAACAAATAAAACAAGAAAAAAATGGGAAATATTAATGGGAATTGACAACAGAAAGGATTAGCAGCAAAACTAGATGATCTTTTGCAAGAGTCTATTAGAAAAGTTATGCATTCTGGTAGAGTTTATGGACCTCCCAATTCTGATCTTAATACAGCCAGAGTCAACTTCGGTAGTTACTTCTGATTTACAGTGGTGCATCTGAGAAAGGAATCTGGCTCTGCCTATCATTCTAACTTTGTTTGCTTCAGTTTTATACCTGAAACTACTTTGGGCCTGACCCAAAATAAGTTGTTATAGGCCCACTGAACCAGATTTCCATCAACTAATTGTAAGAGCCATAAACATCAATAGAGTTAAACCTGATCAATGAGAGATCAAAATCAGGTCCTTTGTGTTTAGAACAAATCTCTGGAAGACTGAACTTGGCCCTCCTTTGGTTGCATTTAATTACCATAGAGAAAGAATTTATCCATGTGCAGAAAAAAACCCTTAAATAACTTCCTCTGGATCATTTATTGTAAGTGATGTCTGAAATCTAAGATAGTTACTAATATTCTGTTGTGGCATGTCCAGTCTCCTAAATCTGGTGCTTTGCAGGAGAAACATCTTACCAAGAGTTTCCCAAACTGGAGGATGCTTCCAGAAAAAGTTTTAAGATTCTGGCTACCTGTCTTGTTCACACAGTTTATAACTGTATATTTTAATGGCAATATTTCCTCAATAATTAATTGCTTAACTTAAATAACCAGTTTCTCAGGGATAGAACTTGAGAACATTGAGTGAAACTGGCCAAAAGTATGTACTGAGTTTTAGAAACATGACAGACAGCATATGATATTTGATTGAAATGTATTTCAACACAAAACTTATTATGACTAATTGTGTCGTGATACAAGAGCACAATATTCATTGTGTAAAACTGATCACATGTTTTCACTGCTGTTTACTTGCTGTAAAATTAGTTGTGTAATGCAAAGCATGGAAAAGATAAGCATTTTAACTATTTAAGTGCTTGCCTTTTTTTGTTTTGGATTTTTTTGGACAATATTAAATAAACTGATCAACAATACAGAATGTTGATACAAGAAATATTTTCCATGCTTTGGGAGGCACAACTTGTGATGTAGTGGCTATATTAACTACAAAGTGTCATTTATTTTTCTGGGGTTAAGCTTTATAAAGGTTATTTTTTACCATAAATGAGGTGTCTGCTTTAATATTGATGTATGCTGCTGGAATCTACTGAAAACAATTTATGGTATCCAAATAAACAGAACAAATGAAATGAGGGAAGTTATGAGACCAACATCAATCCTTAAGTACAGGTTTAATGTCTTCTTTAGTGTGAATGCTGCTGGTGGCTTATTTTAATCAGTGATTTATTTTATTGGCTGACTGTATATCTGGAAATGGTGATCTTCCATCGATTTCCTTCTTTTTTTAAGATATGTGTCTTTTTATACTTTATACTTCACTTTTCCATTTTGTCCAAATTGTTTTTATTTCCATATTACCATAATGAATAAAATGTTGTTCTTTTAAGATATCTGCATGTGTCTTTCTATACAGCTTTTTTCTTTTTGGTATAACTCGATCACATAATGTGAATAAATATACAATATTTTATATTATAAAATAT